TTCTCTCTCTCTCTCTCTCTCTCTCTCTCTCTCTTACTATCCTTTTCCTATTTACCATCTCAACGACAACTGTCATCACTGTCCCATCTATTAATCAACAAATACCAGCTGAACAATCCCATTTTTTTTTTCACCATAAATTTAATCTAACTTACATTATCCCAAATCATTTCATTTCCTTTTTCCTGCGACATTTTTCATTAACACTTTTCTAGCTTCCTTTTTTTTTTCTTAATAATGATATACTTTACCTGTATATAGGTAATTGTTATAGGTAATTTTAAATTTAATTATTCATAATAAATAATCATGATTATTATAATGATATACATTAATTAGCAAAGGTATTTTCATATCAATGTAAATTAATTATTATTTTAATGATAATTATTTGCAATTTAAACTATTCATATTGTATTTTCAACATTACAATGATATACTTTACCTGTATGTCAACATGTTATAGGTGATTTTAAATCTAATTATTCATAATAAATAATCATGATTATTATAGTAATGTAATGGGGAACAAATATATTTTCATATTTATATAAATTTAATATTATTTGAAATATTTGCAATTACATTCATAACAATTAAATGATTTAAATATTACATATTAAATTGGAGATGATTTTTTTTCTTTTTTTTCAATTTTAACAATAAAATGTTCGAAGCATTATGATAAATACTACTTATTACTTAATTTATGATTAAAATTAAATTTTAATAATTAATTTGTATTCAATTTAAATGCAATTATTCGATTAAAATTAATATTAAAATTGTATTAATATAACATTTTCAAAATTAAAATTTCATTGCATTCGTATTTTAACATTATTTTATATGTTTATGAATGCATTTTCATACTTCTACTATTACATAAAAACTTGTTATTAACCTGTCCAGGTATAATTCTCTTTCATCAACAGGTAAACTTGTTCTTCAAAATTTCCCCCTCATCTCGCAAATCTCATCTCAATTTATTTGCATGCAATGATAAATGCCTATCTGTGCGTATGTCTTGTATGTGTATGTATGTGTGTGTGTGGGTATGTACATACGTATGTATATATACATATGTGTATGTATGTTTATTTTTTTTTTTTTGCTTCTAAATGACCATTGATCAAGCTGAGATGATTTGTAGGTGTGTGTGTGTGTGTGTGTATGTATGTATGTATGTATGTATGTATGTATGTATGTATGTATGTATGTATGTACGTATGTATGTAGATATGTTTTGCTTCTAAATGACCATTGATCAGCTAAAATGATGTATATGTATGTTGTGTGTGTGTGTGTGTGTGCATGTATGTATGTTTCCTTCTAAATGACCACTGATCAGCTAAAATGATGTATGTGTGTGTGTGCATGTATGTTTACTTCTAAATGACCATTGATCAGCTAAAATGATATATGCGTGTACATGCGTGTGTGTGTCTGTGTGTGTGTCTGTGTGTATGTGTATGTGTATGTGTATATTTTGATGTTTATTGTGCTTGTCCCTTTCCTTCCTTCCTTCCTTTCGTCCTTTCTACTTGGAATGTTGCTTTGTTGACTAAATTCATAGGATTAAAGCTTGCCGACTCTTGAAAAAAAAAAAAAAAAAGAAGAATAAAAACAAACAAATAACAACAATTAAAATTTCATATTTACTTAGCATAAGTTACTTGATTAATTAAATAAATACTATAAAATTTATTTTTTGATATTTTATAAATTTGTAATTTAATAAATTTTATTTGATGCAAAAATATTCGTCGCAAAAAATGTGACATATTTTTTTTCCATGCATTTATTTAGTATTTCGTTGCTATTTAAAAAATTATTTTTTACTAATTGATTGAGTAATTGATTAATTTAATAGATTGAAATTAAATTTATCAATTAATTAGTAGGGATATAATATGTATTGTAAGACTTAACCATATAAAATCTTTCAAACTTAACTTTACAAATTGTAAGACTTAGCCTTAACTTTACTATTAATTGATAAGTAATTAGAATAATTTCGATAAAAATTATCAATTAATCAATGCTGATATAATTATAAGGCTTAAATTTCCAAAAAGAAAAAAGGAAAAAGAATTTAAAAAAAAAACGTTAGCTATATAATTGAAAATTATATTCGAATTCATTTATCCAATTAATTATCTATGCATTTGCATAATTTATTAAGTTCACCTATTAATGCATGCATGTAGTGGATCATTTAATCTGTTTCCTTTTAAAATACTCTTTTCTATTATTGCTTCATTTTAAAATTTTCAAAAAGCTATATGCCATTTAATATAGTATATACATTTTGTTTATTTAATTATTGCAAATTTAAATCGAATATAAGAAATGATGAATAGATTGTACTCGAAATTAATGAATCAAATTATTCATTACAATTTTATTTTCTTGCATTTTCTTTTCCACTCTCTCTCCCTCTATCTCTCTCCCTTGCTTTGTTTTTTTTCATCCTCAATTTTAATTTGAGTGTAAAAAAAAAAGAAATCCATTGAAATTTCACTTTACTTCCACTCTCACTTTCTTTCTTTTCCTCCCTCTTTCTCTCTCTCTCTCTCTTTTACAAATAAGAAATGACTTTTATACTTTTATATGTTTGTTATTCATCCTTCTTTTTTTTCATTGTTTACTTATTTATTTCAACCATATGTTTGCATTTAATTTCATAAATTTTAACAAATTAAAATCAAAAATAGCTAAATTAAATATGCTTTTAAACGAATGCTTTCTTCGTTATTTTCATTTTGTTTGTTTCTTTTCTCAATTTTCCGTTCTTTTTTTTTTCTTTGCCAAATGAAGTTCACTTTAATATTTAAAAATATATTTTAATATTATTTTCCTATATTTTAATATTTATTTTTTATTTTAAAATTTTTCTTTTTTTGCTTAACTTTATGATAATAATGTACTAATAGTGAAATTTTTAATAAAGTGATCAATTTGGGATAAT